ATGCTGCAGCTGCAGCACTGATTCTGCTATTGATCTCCGCATGAAGGTCACACTTAGCTGTTATAGTGTTCCCCAGATATCGAAACTTGTCAACCTGTTTCAACATATCTTCAGGACATCACTTCCGTCTTTTTGACACTGATCTTTAGGCCAAATTTGCAGCATGCTTGGTGAAAACGGTCATGTGTTGTTGTTGCAGGCCTTCTGGGGATTCTGCAAGGAAGCACCTGTGCTTACTGTAGATACAGAGGGTTCAAAAGTGGTGCGCACGTGGCCTGTGCATAGAACTTGGCCGGCGCACTGGTGTGCGCTTTGATTCTACCGCCGCGTACCCCGTCGTATTTTAAAATTATGAATCACGTTTTGGGTCTGCTGTGATGATTTCATAAGGCTTCAGCCAAACAGGGGTTAAGTTTCGCAATGTTTCGGTGGCTTGGCATCATTTGTTTTGCTATCTTTAAACTCGCGCACCGAGCTTGAAGCCTTATTGGTGTCTCTGAATTTACCAGAAGCGTTTAAATTACTACAATTGTCTGCTTCTATCATTTCTACGCTATTCTTAGGTTGTTGGAGATTTCACATTTCGTTTTTATTCACCTACCTTCTCTAGCTAAATGTGGACGAAATATCTACCTGAACCTGCTTGTTTGCCATCGCCGGAAAGTGTTAAAGAATGGAGAAAATCTGAATAAAAAACCGGCCAAGAGCGTGTCAGACACGCCCACAAATAGGGTTTCGTAGTCAACGTTTAAATATCAGGTTTTTCAGCATTACAAACTTAATTTTGTTGCTGGTTTGTTAGCAGCAGTATGATGACCAACCGCAAATAGAAAAACTCAATTTTTCCTGAAACCTTTAAGGGTACGATATCCGTTATAGTTTTCATTGTAACTTCAGATTGTAAGCTATATTCCATATTTATTTCAAATTTTTAGCGTTTATACTTTAGAAGTTACAGCTGGAACAAATTATGGGTCAAAAACGCCCTCTTTAAAAGCAAATATCACGTGACAGAAACATTTTAGAGAATTTGTTTCAAAGAAACCTCACCTTAATTTTAAAAGACCTATTCAACGATACCCTACTCAATATTACAGAAGAAAAAAAAAATTTTTGCCCCCCTTTCACTTGTATGGGAGGGGGTCCAAAAAACATTTTAAATATTTTTTTCTTTAAATTTCTATATTTGGGTCAACACGATCTATCTTCTCACCAAATTTCATGTTGATAGCTCTAAAACTGACGAAGATATGAGGGCGCGGCATACAGACAGACAGACAGACAGATAGACAGACAGACAGACAGACAGACAGACAGACAGACAGACAGACAGACAGACAGACAGACATGACGAAACTATAAGGGTTTCTAGTAGACTACGAAACCCTAAAAATGGTACCTATTCTTTCTTTTCTTAGTAAACAATATGAAGAGGGATCCAATCAATTTATTTAAGGTACCTATAGGTATGAGGAGAAAAAAAACTGTGGATTTAATTTAAAGTATTAACCAGCCCATGAAACTGAACATGAACTTTCCCCAAGTAACACAACACAAAAAATCAAAAAAATATTACGTTAAACTAGTAACCCCCCCCAGCCAGAATGGATGGCTGGCATGCTTGCTCATATAACTCATTCAATACATTACCTTCCATCATACCTAACGCACGTTATTCTATCTATATTGATCATCTACATCTACCTAGCTATTAAATTGTTTAAACTCAAGTGCGACATTTTAACTTAAATTATATATTCTGCGGATCGCGCACTTACTTCTGTATTTGCGCGATACCTAGCTAGGTTAGGTATATCGAACTATTTTACGATCTAGAACCCCCTGGAGAATCGCCATTGACGTTGAACTTGTCACATGGCCTTCACAGAAGGTCGGCTCCCCCCTCCACCCCCCGGGGATGGTCGGACACGTGAGTGGTTGGGTAATCCGAGAACTATGTGTATGCCTTCAGTTATAGGAGATAGCGAGTAGCATAAGCTTAGTAGGTTGAATAGGTACCTTTAGCTAGGAAACTTGCAATTGTTTTTAGCACAGGCAGTATTAAAGATGGCGTACGGGGCCCGTTTATCGCGAAAATCCTAAACATGGTCGAGTGATCCTTCTATAAAGTCTCTATTTTGTGTTTGAACCTGCTTCTGCTACTAATGACGAAAATCCAGAGCCAAATCTCTCCTGCAAGTTTTTAGAAAAAAATTTTTTGGCATGCATAGGTAAGTTTAAGGTAAGCTTGACGTAGATAGATAGATAGATAGATAGATAAACCGTTTATTTCCAAAATACACATCTAGTTTACATAATGAAAAATAAGCATAAAACTACACATACAACAACACAAACTAAGTTAATTAGATGTGTACTGCAGAAATCCGGCCATAGCTCAGTGGGAATATTGCCCACAAGGAGAAAACACTGATTTTCAGCTATCACCTGGTTGTGGGTGATCCGAGTACCTACAAAAACATTAAAAACAGCTCTGAAAGCGTCTACCTGGATACATTGTGTTATTGCCAGTACATCAACCTATCCATTTAAGGGCCCAAATTGTAACGCGTTTTTCATGCTGATACTAAGGTAAAGGTAAACCAATGTAAGTAGATCTCATAAATCAATAGCTTGATATGCTGAAGATGATACTATAAAGTACAAGAAAACAACAGTCCGTCCTCTGCTGGACTTCCTCATATACCTATTTGTAGCATTTGCGGTAGGTATGTACCACGTCTGGCTGGACTCATCTGTCGTGTAAGAGACCGAGTCGATGAACAACTTTATAAACCTTGGTGTCTTGTCTGATTAAACCGCTGTTATTTTAATTTTAAACCACAATAATCCGTGACAAGCTGTCCAAGTAGCAATGTCAGGAACGTTCAGGTTCATCCGACCATGTTTTTCATACAGTTACGTAGTTCAGGGACAAATATACCTGCTTTGTTTACTTCCGTTATTATGTAACTCTTATCTTTTACAGTTTTTACACTGATCAATAGTACGTACATCGAAAGCAAATCCACCTACCAAGCGACCAACATATACCTACTGGTTTTTCTTAATGTTTTTCTTACAAATACTAAGAATAACGAGAATAAGTTGATCCCTTAAACGGGTAGGTAGATTTGCTGGGGACAGCACCTACTTAGGTACAAAATTGTTTTTTATTATTTGTTACTTATGTACTTAAATAATGTACGGGCAGTAAGAGACAATATACAAAAAACTTTGCAGGCTTGATCAGACCATGAACCTGAAAACTCCAGTGAATGTTTTTATACTTTGCGGGGTATGCAGAGTGTTAACGACCGGAAAAATATGGTCGCTATCGCCACGTCTGACTACTGACAAGTATTTGAGGGCTATTTCTGAAGAATCGTGAAAGTATCGCACACAGACCAGTGTTCCTCCAAGATCACTAAAGTCACAGCTAAAGTGAGATATTGTTAGCCTGTCGCTTAAAATTGTATCAATTATTGCTCGTTGAAATGAAACGTATAAGATAGATTTAAGGTGAATCGAAAAGGGTAAAGTTCAACAAACTGATAAATGGGCATATTCCTTGACCACAACGAGGTTACCTTAAAAGAACATTCGCAAATCAGACTTTTGTAAATATAAATTATGATGCGATAAAGTATATCCAAAAAAAACAATAACATTTACTAAATTGTTGAATATCTTGTCAAGCATTTTGCGTGCCGATGATGCCGTGATTGTTTTTAGGACCAACGCTCTGCTTTCCCCGCAAGGCGTACCGGCGTGATGTAGTCGATAAACCTATCAATTTATGCTAGGTTCCATTCAGTCTAGCCGAGAGACTAGTAAGGTCGCTTGTTAGAAGCCGACCGGCCAACCCCTAGTGGCGATTTTTCACCCCGCTCATTACATTGCGACGGTTGAGGGCGATCAGTAGTCTGCTTACCCTATTCATATTTGCAAATTGACGAAAAAAACGCGCTCTTTTTCTGTGTGAAAATTTGGGCTTTGGTTTAACATACCAACATACAATAATAATATATCACGTCTCTATCCCATTGGATTTTATTAGTTGTGATAACTTCCAAACAAGTTTTGAACATTATAGTGCACTCAATACTTAACCATCCCCGTTTTTTCGTCGGTAAAAAAGGTGTTCTTTTTATATTTGTGGGTGAGTATTATATTTTTACCATAACTACAGAGATAGAGCGTTACATTAATTAAGAATACTTAATATAGAAATTAGTGCAATAGAAACGAAATGCTACTAAGTGAGATATTTGAATTAATTAATGATTTTTGTCTCTAACTATGTAGTCTTTCCACTTTGACACGCAAAGGTAAAAATGTTAGTCAGTTTAGTTAAATTTGATCCCTCATACCGACAGCATTTTTATAAATGGTTTAGATATAAATAAAATTACCTAAAGTTTATTTTTGAATACTAAAATAGATTAACGATTGCTCAATCAATCAGATCGGTTACGGCATAATGAGTAACATTTAGAGATAGGTTAGGAGTTAGCCACGAATGAATGAATAACTATTATATGCAACTTTGTTTGGTGGTGTTTTAGTGTGAATAACAGAAGATGGCACAAAAGAAGAAGTTATACCCCAACTGTGACTCATCAGTGTGGCTGCGGTCTTGTGAGGAGGAGATCACGCAGCCTTTAGAAGGAAAAACTACAGGTAAGAGACAAGAAGATATGATAAGAGACAGAAGAAGATGTCAAGAATCAAATCACCCAGAACAAAAAACCACAGGTAAGAGAAAATAGTAGATGACAAGAGAGAGAAGAATATATGTGGCTGCGGTCAAGGAGCAAACCACGCAGAAGGGAAAACCACAGGTCAAGAAGTCAAGAGATGACAAGAGAGAGAAAAATATGTACTAGTGTGACTCCGGTCTTGCGAAGGGCAGATCATGCAACATAATACATGTTAGCCCATATGTCAATTTCATTGCTTGTCAATTTACAAATCTTCTGACGTTTTTGGCAAAATTTCACCGCGGGCAGGATTTGAACCTGCGACTTGGCACCTGTACTGCCGACGCCTCTACTGATTGGGCTACCGCGGCTCAATCGTAGGCTGCGAAATGGTGTAAGTATATTTTCTCAAATAACGCTTGGCAGGGCTTCATCTACAGCAGTTAGAGGCATCTGAAATGTCGCTGAATGGATGCTGAAAGTCGCAGGTTCAAATTCTGCCTGCGGTGATCTTGCAAGTTTCCCAAAAATGTTATAGGTACAGTCAGAGTCAAAAGAGCATACCTAGGACCGCCTCAAATGGTTCAAATTATCTCTGAAACTACATTACTTTTGCAAATTATTTCTTTTGTTGTCTATGCAGCTAGTTAAACTCTATTCACAACCAAAACAATAATTTACAAAAGTAATGTAGTTTCAGAGATATTTTGAACCATTTGAGGCGCTCCTAGGTAGGTATGCTCTTTTGACCCCGACTGTACCTACCATGGGAAATGTTTTAAAAGTTATAATAGTACAGTTTTCTGACGTAGTCAGCTCTTTGTAGTAACTAGTAGTGGGTAACTACCAATAACTACGTGGTAACTACACTTCGTAATTTACGTTTTCCTGTCTAAGCCATGACGACGTGCGCATTGTGATGTGCGTAAGTGTGCGCAATTAGCCTACTTCATTGTCTTAGACTAGACCCACTTAGCCGTTCTATGTCACTGTCGATTGTGAAAACATACATAGGTACATATATCACGCCTATATCGCTTGCGGGGTAGGCAGAGCATACAGCTGTAAAAACGGCCATTTACACCACGTCTGACAAAAGTTGGAGAGTCATTCAGAAGACTGTGTATCACCAGAGTGACAGGTTTTAAAATTGCAAGTAGGTACGTATCAACTCTAAAATTCCTTAGTCACTTCTGTCGACACCCACTGGAAATTTATGGGTGATGCATTTCTAAACCGGCATCACTCGGCAAGACTTAAACGATGCATAAACTATTCAAAAATCTCCCCGCACAGCTATGATAAACGGTGATTTTTAGGGTGCCGTACCTGAAAAGTCGAAACGGGACTCTGTTACTGAGGCTTCGCTGTCTGCCGTCTGTCACCAGGCTGTATCTCATAAACCGTAATACTAAAAAACCTGATATGTACCTACTTAGATGTTGACCACGAAACCCTATTCGTAGGCGTGTCTGACACGCTCTTGGCCGGTTTTTAGAAGAATAAACTGTATCTACTTACTAGTTTATGTACTAAGGCTAGTTTATCTAACTGAAAGCCAAGTTGAAGGTTTTGTTCAAGGCTAAATCGTTTAATGACCACTAAAGCTGATTATCTATCGCCAGCACATCCACCTACCCATTTAAGAATTACCTAAACTGGTTTGTCATACTATTTATATGAAAACCAGTATAAGTTAATTCCTTACATGTAGTTTGTGCTGTAAATTGTAGCTGTATCGCTTTATTACCACCTTTCAGGCACTATCCCGCCGTGGTTAAGAGGTAGCCTCATACGAAATGGTCCTGGGTCTCTGAAGGTGGGAACGATGACGTTCGACCACCTTTTCGACAGCTCGGCTCTGCTGCACAGGTAGGTATGCTATGCGTTGCCTGTTGTGATTGTGACTATGAATTAGCATTCCCAAAGAGGGTTGACGTCAGGCAGGCGGCGCCGGTCGTAAAACTTTTCCAATTCTTTTTGCATGAATTTGTGCTCTATCAAAAATTTTGCGCCGAACTAAATTGATTTGGGATAAAGGCAGGCACTTGATGACGTTGTGATTGTGATCGAAGATGAACAAGCACCCGAAATCAGTATTTTTGTGTAATTCGTAGGAAGTAAGAGCTGGCGCGTACGAGACTTTCACTCTCGCGCTCTGCCTACTAAGGCTTTAAACAAAATTTTAATAGGAAAAGACTGATCCATGCAGATACCCGATATGAGGCTATAGTGACTCCACAGACCTTACCGCCTTCCGCACAGTGGTTTTACCTGCTGCTCTGTTATACTTATTAAACTATTATATTATACTAGCGTAACGTGTGTTAGGTATAGGTATCTACTTTTCTGCAACTGAGTGTCGAATTCGTAATTCTAAATGTTTATCTCTATCTGGGGGCACGGCAGTGCCCCCACCAAGTCGAGCTGAAAGCGGCACGGCCGTACCATCCTTTTCTCGAACCAGTTCAGGCCATTTTTGACCCCCCCATAACTCCCTTGTCGATAAGTTTAGAACCCTAGTTTTAAAATATCTTATCAAGCACTGCATAGACACGATACACTTCAAATTTCATTTAATTTGGACCAGTAGTTTAGAAGTTATAGTTAGTCAAAGTTTCTTAATTTTCTGCCTGACTGACTGACTGACTGACTGACCGATCATCAAAATTCTAAGGTACTTCTAGCAGTCTGAGGAGCTTGAAACTTAGAATACACCTTGTATTTAGTGTATGAATAAAGGGAAAACTATAACATTCTGCAAATTCGGTTGCAACCGCATAACTAACTTTGTATTTCCATACAAATGTATAGGATTACAAAGTTAACTTTGCGGATAGGCTTTGAGGAAATCTCTAGCTGAGGCTCAAGAAGTTGTTCCAGATAAGAGAAAGAGGAAGACTATCTACAAAAAGAAATGAGATCCCACCAAAAACATTTACTTGTAAAAAGAACCAAGTCTCGCCTCTCAGTTCATCTACTGTAAAAAGTTGTGAGATCCATGTGATGCCAAGTCGGTTATTGATTTATTCAAGGACTACTTCAGGGAACTTTCATCTTAAGCTATTGCGTAATTAGGTAACAGACATCATCTTACAGTAACTATATCAATATTTAAAAACTTTTATATTTACAATAACTAGAATGACTTGGCAATCGCACACTATTTACTTGTGAGATACGATGGTCTAGTGCGATATAGTTACTGTAAGATGATGTCTGTTACCTAATTACGCAATAGCTTAAGATGAAAGTTCCCTGAAGTAGTCCTTGAATAAATCAATAACCGACTTGGCATCACATGGATCTCACAACTTTTTACAGTAGATGAACTGAGAGGCGAGACTTGGTTCTTTTTACAAGTAAATGTTTTTGGTGGGATTAATATTTCTTCTTTTCATTGCAGATTTGCGATCCACGACGGCCGTGTTACATACCAGTGCAAGTTCCTACAGTCCAACACATACAAACGTAACCATGCTGCGTCGAGAATCGTCGTCACAGAGTTCGGCACCAAAGCTGCGCCCGACCCTTGCCACACTATTTTTGACAGGTATTTACATACATGTTGGGGCTCAAATGAAAGGGCTTCACGAGGCGATTACATTACTATATTTTGGTTACACAATAAGTTTAAGTTATAAAGATTGCCACTTTTTTTAAATTGTTTTTAAATTTTCAGAGTAGCAGCCATATTCAAACCGGGAGAATCATTATCGGACAATGCTATGATATCGGTGTACCCTTTCGGGGATGAGATGTACGCGTTCACGGAAGGACCAGTGATACACAGGTTTGTTTGTTCAAAACACACTTAATTCATTTAAAATTATCTATGGAAAAAAATACAATAGCATAGGTTTAAGGTACCCACCTTTATTTCATTTTTCAGCTTATATTAAGGTTTCTTTTTCATTAAAATTCATTTAATAAAACTGATCAACGTTTCTTAGTATTTTTTCTCCTAATTTTCTTCAACTTCAGAGCTACACTGTTATCGATAGAGTAATATTTCCATTCACCCCTAAAATATTTGAACCTGCCATAGGTACCATAGTGACAGGTTTTTCGAACATTTTTGAATACTTACTAAGTATTTTTCATGTTAAAAAAATTGGCCTGTTTCACGAGTAGAACGGAACACATCCTGAATATGCTTGCACAGCATATAAAACGATCTGATTCAAATATTTCATAATTTTGTCTACTTACTTGCAGAATAGATCCAACAACTTTAGACACACTGGAGAGGAAGAATTTGATGGACTACGTTGCTCTCGTGAACCATACTTCACATCCGCATGTCATGAATAATGGTATGAATTGAAATTGGAAATATTAAGTATATACGAGGAGGTAAAAGATTGATTAGGAAAATAGTGTGTTCTTATTTAGGTTTTCTTTTTTTCAAAGAATTCCGTCCTAAAAGTCCAATAAGTCTTTGGGCGTAAACCCTTTTTTCTATACAGGGTGTAAGGGACACCTAAAACTCTGCAGACGCTCGTTGCGTTTACGCTCTGCCTACCCGGCAAGGGAAATATGCGTGATATATGTATGTATGTTTATGTAAATATGTTTGTTTCAGGAGATGTATACAACGTCGGTATGTCGATGGTGAAAGGTAGACTGCGACATGTTGTCGTCAAATTCCCCTTCACTGAAAAAGGTAGGTAACAATCCCTTCAGACAATCGTAGAACTAATTTAATAAAAAGTTTATTTACTTTATGTTTGTTTATGGGCTGGTTCAGGTGTTGAGATATTTTCCGCATTTTCATCATGACATGTTTTGGTTGCGTTTTGGGATTTTAATGTACTCACTGTAGGAAATTAGACGCGACTTTGGCTACTAGATTAGTTTTATATTACTCGATTTGAAAAATATCAACAGCTCGTAACTAGCGGTGACTTGACACTGAACATCATAGAGTAAACATATAAAAAGTATTTGCGTCCATAGGCAATTTCCAACACCCTCCCCTGGACGCAAACCCTCAGCATGTACGAAGACATCATTCCTCAAACAAGGCAGCCATTTAGTTAAAGCATTTGTGACTTCTTTAATCGCACTTGTGGCCTTTTAGAAAACCATCTTGCAGCTGCATCCCGGAAATTAAAAATACGCCCTCTAAAAGAACTTCTGTCCTCGGGGTTGCATGCCCTGTTCACAGAATGAATTAACTTGGCTTCTTTATTCTTGGCCATTGCATCATTATTTCTTTCTGATGAACTAGCTAGACTATTGTCAGCCTGCGAACAATTTATCGCTCGATTGTCGTTGCTTTGCAGCTCTATCTTGGTCTTCTCAATAGGTATGTTTACTTTTTGTTCTTCCTTATCTTCATTTACAGTATATTCATTTAAAAGTCTTT